TAATGGGATGACTGCGAAGTATATCTGATATAATTATAAATAAATATAAATTCTCTTATAACTAACAGAGTCAGTTTCTAATTGGGCAGAACCTGAACATTACAAGGAAATGCAAAAAGCTTTATTTATAAACTTAATTATATTCTGGCTTATTGCGGAAGATAATCAAATTAAATATAAGTATAGCTATAAATTATATTCAAAGTAAGTGTACAATTTAGTTTTTCATTTTCTTAGTCCCATGTGCCTTGTTCTCCTGCTAGCATTTAGTAGTCTTGTCACACGCCCATTTCCAACTGGCAAATCCATTTAGAATTCAAATGTTGAATATTTTTGATAGAGTCTCGCAGTGCCAAAAAGTATTATGGCAAACGCAAGTATTAATAAAAACAGAAATTAAAAATTGTGTTTTTCATTTTTTTTTTCCGGAATTTTTGTCCAATTTTTTTTTTCATTTATCATTTATTTTTGCATTTTACATTTTGCGAAAATTGTTTTCATTTATGTTTGAGTTTTTCTTTGCTGCTGTTGTAAGTTGTAATTTGAAAAACATCACCGCAAACTGTCAAAATGCACTGACATTTACAAATTATTTTGCTGGCAGCAGCCATGGGGTGCCGGTGGTGCAGTGGTGCACTTGCCGCAGTTGGGGCCGTTTGACGCTTTGAAATGCGAAATGGAAGCGGTCACCGTTAATTTGCGTCAACGGGCTAATAAAGTTTCGTGTCGCCTTTTTGCTTTTGATTTTGCTTTTTGGCGTTTGGTTTGGCATTTGGTATGTTGGCAACAAAGTTGGCTAATGCACTCGCCGCCATATCTCGGCGACCGCATCTGGCATGCGCTGGTCAGTTGTATCTGTATCTGCAAATTGCATGCCGGCCAAATAGCAAATTAGCAAAGGCAATCCCAAAACATATGAGCAACTGACATTTCAATAGCAAAACAGAAAAAAAAAAGTAAAAATGAAATTCTACAGGTTAAACATCCCCTCCATCTAGTCAACTAGACGTTGCGCCGAGCATCTGCATCTTCAACTTTGTATCTCCCTTTGGCTCTTTATGAAATTCCGATTGCCCATTAATTACTTTTGATTGAGCACCTGAGCTGCTGCTGCTGCTGCTGCTGCTGCTCGCTTACTTGCTTGCAACAAAGTATCAATGAACCTTCCTTGCGCCGCGGGCAATGCAACCGAATAAGTGAGGATCGTTTGTCGCTGTTGCCTTCGTTGGGGTTTCTTTTCCAGCTCACAGTTGCGCAAGGTGCAAACTGGCTGCATAGATTGGCCCTACCTGTGCCCACAGCTGCCTGCTTGGTTTATTGGTCTGCGTGCCTAGGAGTGGCCGCGCCTAATAGCTGAAGAACACACCGCATAAGCAGCGTATATATAGAAGAAATACTCTAGGCACGGGCTGTGCGGGGCAGAGGGTAAAAAATGAATTATGATTTGACGGTAGGCATTTAATGGATGGCCATGGATCTTTGACTCGAACAAAATTCTCGTTTGGCGCCAACATATTGACAGCTGTACACATGTGTGTGTGTGAGTGTGCCTGTGTGAGAAGTTGTTCTGCTGGACAGGTGAATGCCATTTAGTTAGAATGCCTTTTTGTCTGTCCGTCCGTCTGTTGGGTTTTTGTTTCTTTTGTATTTTCTAATTGAATTCAGTTGGCAGCGCGACAGCGTCGCATCGTCTTTTGACGTGCCGTGAAAGGCCATCGATGAGGAAGTGCACTGCACCACAATCCACTCTAAGCAGCCACTGAAAAGCATTCGAAATTGGAGCATGACAGCTCCGCTCAAGTGATGGTTGGAGTTTTTGAGTTTTAGTTTTCGGCACTTGATGGATAGGTGTTGCTTAGTGGTTGACTTGGTGGCTGTTGATGGCTGCGATATGCGGGGCGTGACCTCGTCACGGCTGCCTTCTCTCCGGGACATGCAAGTCAAAGGTGAAAGATACTTTGTGGCATGTGTCGTATGTCGTATCAAAAACGTAGCTGAAATAAACCAAACAGTCGCCATGATCGACGATCATGCTTTCTATATATGCCAGTGAGTGAGACACTCGATGCTTAAACTTGATGTAGAAGAAACTTGAAGTGCACAAGATCTTAGGTCTGCCAATTAGCCGCAACATAATGATTCTGTGTTTGCTGGTAAATGGCCGACTCATAGCTGTGATCCTTTAGTGCTCAACCTCAACCTCACTTGCTAACGCCCACACAATGGCACAGCTCTCAGAGCAATCGCATGGGCGTTGCAGCAGCCGCAACAGCGACAACAATAATGCCATGTTGCGGCATTGCTATAAAAATGTTAAAAACCCTAAGCAGTTCAAAAACACATCTCGCAATTTAATGGCTCAAAAACACAACCAGCTAACTGGTAACTGGCAACTGGTAACTGGAAACACAACCGCCCACCGTTGGGGCCTTATAAACAATGCCGATGCATAAATTTTAAGCCACAAAGATCGCTAAAGGAGACGAACTGAAAAACTCATTAGGCGCATCGCCTACGATATATAAATGCAATAATATTGTAGAAAATTACGACCCTAATAACATAAATTTCACAGACAGGTCACAGGCGGGCCAGACGCGAACGCAGTCGTTGGCGAACTATGCGGTTTTCGGTCTATGAGATACGCATTGCGTAAAAGTTCATTATGTAAAAGGAGTTGCCGTTTTTATCGAAACTTATGGCCCAGAAATATGCGTCAAATAGCGTCATAAACATAAACTAGGCGAATTAATTGAGATGGCCGAGGAAAGATCCCTGTGCCCCTTGAGAGCCGCTCATAAAGCCAACAAATTATGCATTTTTAAGCCGAATGTTGCACCTGCAACAGCCGCATTCGCAGTCGCAGTCGCAGCCGTAGTCAACGTCGATGTCGCATTAGAGCCGCATTTGGCCAAAAGCGGCGATTCGTGCCATCCAGTTGGCTCAGTTGGCTACCTGCCCGGCCGGGTCTAATTGAGTTTTGAGAGTCGTTACACTTCATCGCAATGGGAGTAAATTAAACTGTCATTAGTTTACCCTTTGGCACTTTTGTCGCCCCCGTTCCTCGCCAAGTTGCGAACCCGATCCAAACGATCTCAACATGTGAAGTGGCGCATTATTTTGTGTTTTTCTTCTTCTTATTTTTCTGCTTTGCAGCCGTAATAATTTTGTAGGTTTTACGAGTGCCGCCAAGACAATTAGGCATTTGTTGAATTGTTGTTGCACACACACAGACACAGACACACACACACACATATGGCCAAGTGTGGGCATTTTGTTTAGCGGCATTTGACGCTTTGATGTGCGCAACTAAAAAACGCGCGCGAGACGCGCGACTCGCGAGCCCGAATCGAATCTAACGCCTTTTCAAAATTTTGTTAGCTACATGGCTTTTAGCTTTTCGCCGTGTTCTTGTTGTTGTTTTTTGTACCACGCTGAAGATTTATTTTTTCATTATAGTGTGCCGACATCGACAGCATTGTGGGTGTCTGTGCCTTGACACAAGCCGTGAGGCCATGACGTGCACAAAACAAAAGCAACAACAACAACAGCAGAAAGGTTTGCTTTTCTTTGAAGCTCGCTTCAGATGTGATGATTTTCAATTTTAGGCTGTTTTTGGAGAGAATCTGAAAGTAGAAAACTTCAGAGAAATGCTTATGCAAAAACTGAGCGAGAAGTGCACAAGACGCAAGTGCCACATGCTTCATTTTTCGCTAGTCTTTAACTTTTAAATTAAAAAGTTTTTAACGTGCAACCGATTTATCAATTTTTTAAATCGTTTTCAATGTCAGTTTGGACAGCTTTGAAGTGTACATTTAAATATTATTTATAGCATATGTATTTTTTCGCTTGAGTTTCAATTAGTTTCATTATTTTGGAGTCCATTGTTCGAGCGATTTGCGCGCGTTTCAACTGCGATTTGAAGCGCAGCGAATTCTGTTGGCTTTCGCATCTATTAAGTTTCAGTTTTATTTCGACCTGTGGCCAATGCATAAATTGTCCAACACACCAACTGAGAAACTATAAAACTACAAAAAACTGACAAGCTGAGAAATTCAATAGCTCAGATCACACAAATCCGCCACAGTTTATTGCACCTGCCAACAAATAAAACAGAAATATAAAAAAAATAATCACGTAATGTGTGTGACTGTGTCTGTTTATTTTATTTTTTATGGCTAGCTAAAAGTTATAAAAACCACTTTTTAATTCGAATGCGCTACAAAATGTTATAGACCATCAAATAATTTGCATAAACTGTCCGGGCACGTGGCAACGATTCGCCAAATAGAATCAAAAGCCAAGTTTGTAAAATTTAATTATTTGAAAAAAATCAAATTACTTATAAAAGTTTAAGATTCCAAAATGATATGACTACTTTGCGCAGAGCTACCAAAATGCAACCAACAATTGTTTATACACATTTTGTAAATATATTTTAACTTTGAATTTGAGTTGCGGCAGATAAAACAGAAAAGACTCATTCGCTTTTTGGTTTACCTTTGTTGTTAATGATTCACTTGCCACACACTGTTGTTGCCATTGTTGTTGTTGTTGTTGTTGTTGTTGTTGTTGCTGCTGTTGTTGTTGTTGCTGTTAATGACTTGACAGTAAAGTAGCCTACACAATTTATGGCAAACTTGTCCGCCTACAATCAGTTTTCATTCAGTTCTCTGTGTGTGTGCTTGTGTGAGTTTTAATGCCTTCGTCTAGTTTGGTTTTTTAATTGAAACATTTTTGACCATATTTTCTTAATGATCTGACATGACATGGCGTCTGTTTTGTGTGCGTTAGCTTTAGAAATTTTTGTCTTAGCTTTATAAATTCAGCGTTAATACAAAAAACTAAAACACAAAATGGGGGAGGGGGGGCTGCAGTCCTGCCATGTGCCTACCTATACACATCATACTACACATATAGTTTATATTCAGCACAGACACACACATACATATATCATTATTATAATTTGTACATTGTGTTCTCCACTCTGTTTATTGCAGTCGCCTTCAGAGAGGCAACGCCAACGCCTTTGGGCCACAAGCTGCAAATGCTGGGTAAGTTTTCATTATTGTTGTCTTCATGTTTGCTATTATTCGGACTTGTTGTTGTTGCTGTTGCTGTTGCCAAGCACTTTTATAGTCACTTGTCGTTAAAAAAATATGTGTTGAAAATGTTTTTTTATGACACGAAATGAGCAGGGCCATAAAATTGAGCCGAGTGAGCAATATAACGATGTGCCTTGCGGCCTGTTGAATTCACTAAATGCCATTTGCATTTCGTATGCAATAACTGTCGGACACTGAACTGCAATGAGAGCTTACATATGCCATAAAAAAAGGAACAGTCTCTCTACTCAGAGGCTAATTTCAGTTCAACACTAAAAAAGACCATCAAAAACGCACATATCTTTTAAACAATGTGCTATCTTGAAAATCTAACTGCGAAACGCAGCAATCAATTCAAATACGTGTTAAATATTAAGAGCTGTGTAATTAGAGCCAAAAAGACAGGCTGCTAAAGTTAGTCTTTTGTTAGATTTGCGGCTTCCAAATGAAGCATATAATATTATTTTTATGCTATGATAAAGGTTTTGATCTATCAACACAAGAGTCATACACTCTTTATAAACATTTTTCAATTAATTTTTGTATGGAATGCCGATGTTTAAAAGACATAAAAAATAATATTAAACGGTAGTCAGATCGGCAACTGTGTTACGTAAATTACAATAATTACAAATATAAAAATATACTTAAAATTCTGCTATTAAAAACTTGCTAATAGCATTAACTTTTGATCTGAGCTAAGCCTGAGTAACCTTTGAGAACTACTGCAAGGGATTTTCTTAAGCTTATGTGATCAAGGTACAAGCACGCCAGCTTGAAAACGAAGCTAAGCTAAACTTCTATCAATTCTAAAAGGCAGTTAAACAGATAAAGATAAGCATAATGTCTAGCATAATGGCAACTAATTGAATTGATTTATGCATGTCGCTCATTTTAATGAAGTATTTTTCCTGCGCTGTTGCTGCTGGGGCCGCTTCCCATTTGATTAATTTAAATTTATTTGGTTTCGATATTTGTTGCCATAGCATAATTTTCGTTTTCTGCTCTATCAATTTCAATAATAGCACATTATACATAGGTTTCGACTGCGTTGTTCGTTGTCTGTTTTGTGTCCACACTTGCTATTATTTATTTATTTATGCATATAGTCAAAGAGCTGTGGCCTCTTAGTTGTTGGCTGTTAAAACTGCCGGCTGAGAGCTAAGCAAACTCATAACCAAACCGGGCAGCCGTGCGGGGTTCAGGAGCGCTGCCCACGAGGAAGAGGAGGCGTCATTGATTTATGCCTGGCATTTTTTATGGCCATTTTGTTTGTAATTTATTAACAAGCTTGTTAACAACGTCGTCTGGCCAATATGCAGATGCAGATACAAAGCTTACCAACTTACTGTGCGCACTACAAGCCTGCGCCTGACCAGTTCGCAGAGGTTAAAGGCCATTACGGCAGCCAGGCAGCCAAGCAGCCGGGCAACCGAGCAGCCTGGCAGCCTGGCAGCCTGGCAGCTAGGCAGCTTGGATGCACAACAGCAGGTGGCTTTTAGGTTCGTAAGCATGTTTATAGAAAGTTTTTTATTTTTGCCAAAAGGCTTGCATTATGCGCACACACACGCAGAAGTAAAACAAGAGCCCGCGCTCTTAAATATTTAAACAAGAAACAAAAAGTAATAAACAAAAAGAAACTTCAACCTGTAGTTCTTCAGTTCGATTTTCCACATGCACATGATTTGTTTGCCCAAGCGCGCGCGGTAGCCAAGTGGGCAAGTGTCGGCCGTTGGAGCTGTTGCTCAAATATTCTAAATATTTGCTAAATAATAGAGAAGACAGCAACAATCGGAGTCGAACTGGTGGCAAAAGGCTTGGCCCGACCCAACAGTGTAGGCAGCCAAGCGTAGACCCAGGCACAAGCACAAGCACGGAGACAGGCCCAGGCCCAGACAGAGGCCGCTGGCTCATAGCTAATGGCAGTTGCTTTGGCCGTTTAAATAGCGGCTACTATTTGCGTAGTAAAGTGTACCCAACTGACGAAATGGCGAACTGAAGGCCCAACTCAATGACTGCCCGTCAAATAGGCACACACAACTGAATCTATGGCCAGAAGTAACGTCGGCCACTCGATGCGAGCTGGCAACGTCAATTGAAGTCGTCGGCTTTGTCGTCATCATCACCGGACATTTTGTGTTGGACAGCTGACAGCGACAGCTCCGAGAGTTTATTTTTTCTGTTTTTTTTTTTCTGTGCCGGTCACAGACACTTTAATATTTGAATTTGTTTGAGCCATTGATATGAGCTCTTGCCAAGTTTCAAGAATGTCAATGAGGCATTTGGCCAACAGCACTTTTTTAACTCACAGAGCTGAGTATATTCAAAACATAATTGAGGCTTACTCGAGAGAGCAGTCCATAACGCCAGCTGAGTAACTGATTTATCTGTTCAACAATCTAATTTCAATTGTGCGGCTGAACGACTTTAAGCCAAACAGCACCAAGTCAGACTTGGACTCCAACTGCTTGGAGCCCAGTTAGGCTGCGGAGCTGTGGAACAGCTGAGAGCTGTGTCAGCGGCAGCGCCAAGTTGTCAACTTAATTTACAGCTAACATGTGAGCTACAAGTTCGCGGCGATTGAGCAAGCGATAAAAAGTATTAATTTCATAGCTCTATGCAATTAACATAAATTGGACAAACGGACACACGGACAAATGACCGGCGTACCGGCGTACCGGCTCCTATGCAAAAACTTATAAATATGCAAGTAGTTCAGATTACAAACAGGCGAGCTTTAGAATGCAATGCCTTGATCTGGCCAGATATTGTAGATACTCACTCGCCTATCAATTGGCAATTTCTGTTATTGATACACAGTTTTATGTGCCCGGCACGAGTGTCGACATTTGGCTGACAAATGTGCTGATGTGTTTAACTAAATGGCAGACCAGACACTTGCCAAAGGGGCGCACGTCTGGTCATATATGGCTCATATGATCTGACTATCATCAATTGGCAGACTGCAGCAGCCGCCATTCAATCGTATAATTAGCATAATTGGAGATGAGTTTGAAATGCCAGCCAAGCCATAAAAACTAAAGGTTAGCACATTGAGACCGTAATATATAACATTATGCAGTACGGTGAATGGAGTTTTCTTAATATAGAATTCAAGATTCGAACCTTAAAGCAGGTTCGGATAAAATCAGATATGGTTATTCTATAAGAATATATTTTTATTAAGCATTCTTACTGTAATAAACATGTCGACATTTTAAGACACAAGACGCTCATAAATAAGTTTAATCGTAAAATTAAAGATTCTTAAACGCTTTCAAGTAAGAAATAAGGCAACGACGACCGTTTCTCTAAATGCAAGTCTAACTTCAGAAAAGAGATCGACCTTGAGATTATCTGTACCAAGTCCAAGATATTTCTCTATTTTCAAAATATCCTTGAGCTCGTATCAAATCGACTTTTAAGACTTATATAAGAGTACCTGCCAATTGAAAACTGCGCATATCTCCTTTATGTAAGTGTAGGCATAACAATCCAGGGTATATCGGTGTACGCATCGAACTCGAGCAGCGACGTTGCAGAGCAACAACAATCGATAAACAATTTCAATAAATCGTGCTGGTATCATAAAAGTAAATTAAATGCTTTTGTAGCCGCTCCTGTCGAGTTGTGTCTCAATTTGCCGGACCGCTCAAAAGTGGCCAGCACAGTTTTAGCTCCAGTTCCAGATCGAGTGCCTCTGGCCAGTGGCCAGATCTGATGAGGTGCCGCAATATGCGTAAGTTAAATGCGCAGACGTGGCCCAAGGAGCAGCAACAACGAACAACAACTTGGGCACCTCACGCAATTACGTGGAAGTTGCCATCGAAAAAACAAAAACAAGAGTGGCAAACTCTGGCAGGTCGACCAATAAATACTCTTGCTTCAAGGGATTTTACTTACAAAAAATCGAATTTCGATCGATTTTCCTCTATAACTATTATATGATATTGTAGTACGATGCTCAAATATGTTAGATGTTTGCTCATATTCATCGACTATTTTTCCTATAGAGCTATATATTCGATACTACTAAAAATAACGTAGTTGTTCATGTAAGAAATTAAGTTTCGACTGCTCATTGCTTTCACGGCTAAATGATATGGACGGATCTGGTTAATTCCCCCACATGCCTGCAACAAAAAGACAGTTTTAAGAGAACGACAAATTCGAAGCTATGCCCTTCTGTGCGTCACATAATACCCTCTGCAAGGGTATTCAAAAATAAGCAGAGAAAAGACAAAGGCTTCTGCAAACTTTCCACATTTTGCCTTTTAATAAGCCTCGAGGGCTACCCTTTCTTGGGCGTCAATGAAATGCAAATGTTTCGCGGGCCGTTGTTGTTGTAGTTGTTGTAGATGTTGTTGCTGTTGTTCGGCTGCTTATCAATAATCTATTGGCCCAAAACGTTGAGCAGATAAGCAGCGGCCTTTCTCTTGTTGGATGTGTCCAGCGACTATTAAGCCATAAAACGCATGCAAATGAAGGCGTTGAAATGCGCATACAACAAAAGTCTGAGCCAGATACTGAACTGGCCTGGCCTGGTCTGGTCTGGTCGGGCCCTAAAAGTTGAGGCGTTTTTCGCCTGCTTAAAGGGCGCAACAACTAACGCGCTTGTGCTGCAGATGAGCAAATGAAGGGGCAGCTGTCTGCAGTAGCAGAGGCAATGGCAGTGGCAGTGGCGGTGGCAGCTTTGCTGGGGGTAAGTCGCAGTCACAGCAGCTAAAACGAGCACCGGCTGACTGGCAATTAATTATGGCTCAGTGTTGGGACAGTGGCTGGCATATGTTTATTTACTTAATTTACTTAATGACACACATACAGAGCAGAGCAGCAAAAAGATGGGCACGAGTCGGCGCACATTTTGGGTGAGGTCATCGTCGTTCTATAAAGGCATGTATCTATGTGCTTGTAAGTGTGTGTCTCTCTCTATATATGTGTGTGTGTGT